GCCCTAGGCAAATGCCTTGTTTGCCTTGTGGTAAATACATCCCTGTGTGTGTGTGTGTGACACTGTCTGTGTGTGACTGTCTGCCTCTGTGTGTATGTATGACTGTCTGCCTGTGTGTGTGTGTGTGTGTGTGACACTGTCTGTGTGTGTTTGACTGTCTGCCTCTGTGTATGTATGACTGTCTGCCTGTGTGTGTGTGACACTGTCTGTGTGTGTGACTGTCTGCCTCTGTGTGTGTGTATGTATGACTGTCTGCCTGTGTGTGTGTGACACTGTGTGTGTGACTGTCTGCCTCTGTGTGTGTGTATGTATGACTGTCTGCCTGTGTGTGTGTGACACTGTGTGTGTGACTGTCTGCCTCTGTGTGTGTGTATGTATGACTGTCTGCCTGTGTGTGTGTGTGTGACACTGTCTGTGTGTGTGACTGTCTGCCTGTGTGTGTGTGTATGACTATCTGCCTCTGTGTGTTTGACTGTCTGCCTGTGTGTGTGTGGCTTTTGGTGTCTGTGTGGCTGTCTGCCTGTCTCTGTGTGTATGGATGTCTGCCTCTGTGTGTGTGGATATCTTTGTGTGTGTGCATCTGCTAGTGAGTGAGTGAGCTTCTGTGTGTGTGTTTGTGTGTGCGCATCTGCTAGTGAGTGAGCTTGTGTGTGTGTGTGCGTGTGTGTGTGAGGGAGCTTCTGTGTGTGTGCACCTGCTAGTGAGTTTGTGTGTGTGCCTGCTAGTGAGTGAGCTTGTATGTCTGTCAGTGAGCTTGTCTGTAGGGATCGTGTGTGTGTTAGTGAGCTTGTCTGTAGGGAGAATGGGTGTGTCTGCTCCTGTCTGTGGTGAGCATGTGTGTGCAGTGAGCTTGTCTGTAGTAAGCTTGTGTGTGTATCAGAGTTTGTCTGTACTAAATTTGTGTGTGTACCAGTAACCTTGTCTGTGTGTGTAATTGAGATTGTCTGTCAATGAGCCTATTTGTGTGCATCAGTAAGATTGTCTGTGTCTGCATGTGAGTATGCTTTACTGTATAATTTAATTACCCTAAAAGGACTAATATTTTGAATTGAAAAATAAATATTCCAATAATATATATATATAGATATGTGTGTGTGTATATGCTATGTAGTGTGTGTTATATAACACACACTACATAGCACAATGACTTATGGGGCTGCCATAGATTTTTTTCCAGGGCTGCTTCGTGTCCCCAGTCCGGCCCTGGGAGTGGGATGTAAGTGGAACAAAATGGAAGCATAACCTTAGTTTGACACTAAAGCACCCAACAAAATGTGAGAGAGGAGATAAGTAGTTGGTTAATAACTAAGAAAGCAATGCGATGTGTTGTTTACCATTATGATTATTTATATGTTTGTTGCTTACGGGAGCATAAGCTGTTAAAGTGAACCTGTTATCACAGGTTCACTTTAAACAATAATTAGATCATTTGCCACAGCTGTTGCATTGGCAGTTTTTGTAGAAGTAATTATTTTGTACACACATACAGAGGATAAGTGGGATGCTAAATGACAGAATCAGCGGGAACCTTCATGATAATGAAGATAGTTCTACATGAGGATGTTGGTCTGTTAGAGATATAGAACCAGCAGGACTGTTTTTATACATTGCGCAAATTCAACTTTACCTTAACTATTTTATGGCCAGCTAATCCATGATAGGGTTGTACCCCGGCATTCTTTCCTAAATGCCCTCTGTATGAAATTATAAAGCAAGAGTATCTGGGGAAACTGGAAACCATTTTTTTTTTAAAGTCAGACAGTGGTTCTATGTTATAGGCATTGGTCTGGAAGTGCACCTCCATTAATCCTTATGCTACTCTGGCTTTTGATGAAGATACAATTAAGGAGAATAGTAAATTATTGAATAAAAATGTGGAAAAATTGGAGGAAAAGATTTTAAATACTAAGGAGAGTAAGTTAAGTAGAGACAAGGACGATTATAAGAGAGGTGTACAAAGAGAATGGAAGAAAAAGAGATATAGAGGTGCCCAAAATAGGAATTTTGGTGAGACTAGGTCTAACAAACCCTATGAGGGAAATAAAACTGGATACGAAAAGAATTACTCACCCAAGGGATTAAGAACCAGAATGAGTAATAATAAGTCTTATGAGAAAAATTACTCACCCAAGGGATTTAAAACTAGAATGAGTAGCAATAGGGGAGGAAGCAAGAGATCTAATATCACGAGGATGGACAATGATGAAGGGATTGGTAGGGTAGTTAGACGGAAGGAGATCCAAAAATCAACTACAAATGGTAAAGTAAGGGATGTGTCTGACCAACAGGAGGCTTTTTTAGAGAAGCGTCAAAGAGGCATTCAACAACGAGGTCAAAATGCCTGGTTCCACAGGAACATATTTTCCCATTTACAGACAACATGCACTCCCCCCAAGAAAAGAAAGCTTTTAGGAGCCACTGGAGGACTAGGGGAAATAGAGGAAGGGGAGATGTCAGATGAAATGTATCAAAAAATACTGGAGGCATTTTAAATTTATCTAAGGAGGTTTTCACTACGGAACAGTTACAGATTTTAAATAAAGGTCTGAAATTCGTTCCACAAACTGATCCCAATATGTTTGAACTGGGTTTTTTTTAGATACTCAGAAGTTTCTAATAAAACTCATGATTAAAAGGTTTTTTGAAAAGAAAAAGGAGTTAGATTTAAAATTAAGTGATAATCAACAAGGCTCTATAACAGTTGGGATACAATCAGAAACAACGTACAACACCAGGGATAATTCATTCAGTTTTAAAGAATAAATCAAAGTTTTTTCCAACATGGGAAAAGGGAGATCGTATACCGGTTTTTAGCGAAATGATAATTTGAGAATTTTTCTAAAAATAGAGGTAAAGAGAATTTGACGAGAAAGGAGAAACAAGCTTTAAAGGTCCTTAAGGATAATAAAGGGATAGTAATTAGACAAGCAGATAAAGGTGGGAGTATTGTGATTTTAAATAGAGATGATTATTTGAAGGAGTCCCAGAGAATATTAGGAGACTCTAACACTTATAAGATCTTGGCAAATAACCCTAGTTATTGTTTTAAAGAAGAATTACATGGTATATTAATGTCAGGTGTGGAAAAAGAAATAATAAATAAGGATGAATTTCAATATCTATTTATTAATTCACCAAAGACAGCGGTCTTCTATTATTTGCCAAAGGTCCATAAGTGTCTTGAGTCTCCACCAGGGAAACCTATTATTAGTGGGATTGGCTCATTGATGAGCAACATCTCTCAATATATAGATTTTTATTTACAAAAATATGTAACCACAACTAGATCATACACTAAAGACTCCACCCAGATTATTAGAGAGTTTGAAGGTCTTGAGTGGAAAGACGAATATCTCTGGGTGACAGTAGATGTAACATCTTTATATACTGTGATAGATCATGAGAAAGGGTTAAAGGCGATACAGAATGTGTTAATTAATGATCCCCAGATGAATCCAGAACAGGCATCTTTTATTTTGGACCTTATTAGGTTCATCTTGTTCAACAATTTTTTTTGGTTTGAAGGGGTATATTACCTTCAAACATGTGGGACAGCGATGGGCACTAGGTTCGCACCGAGTTATGCCAATATTTTTGTGGCAGATTGGCACTTGAATAGTATCTGGCATAACAACCCATTCGGTGCGAACCTGGTGCAGTGGAGACGCTATATTGATGATGTCCTTATTATCTGGAATGGGAGGAGGAGTCGCCGAGATGAGTTTTTAACTTATATTAATTCTAATTTGTATGGTTTTAAATTCACGTTGGATATTAGTGATAAATGCATAAATTTTTTGGATCTCACCTTATTTGTAAAAGAAGGGAACATTCATAGTAAGACCTTTTTTTAAACCTACGGATGGTAATGGTTTTATTGAGTTCTCTAGTTGTCACCATCGCAACTGGTTAACCAATATTCCTAAGGGACAACATATGAGAATTTTTAGAAACTGTACTGAAAAAGAGGATTTTAGAGAGCAAGTCCAGATTTTAAATAAGAAATTTGCTGACAGAAATTATCCCAGAGAACTTTTACGTAATACACAAAGAGAAGTAGAAAGTCTCCAAAGAAAAGATCTTTTAACTAGTGCCCAATATAATAGAAAAAAGAAGGATGGTAAAAATTGTACAGAATTCGCTTTTTTATCAAAGTTTAATAATAAAGCTAATTTATTAGAGAGATCGATCCGAAAAAATTGGCCCATTTTATTACAAGATAAATTTTTAAGGAATATTTTACCTAAGAGACCCAACAATTTGAAAAGCATCTTAGCCCCTAGTATTTTACTCAGAAAGGAGGTTGTAAGAGGTGGTATCAATTTTTTATCAGAGAAACCTAAAGGTTTTTTTAAGTGTGGGAGGTGCACTACATGCAAATTCCAGAAGAATAAGGTTACAGAATTTTGCAGTACAGTAACTAAAGAAACCTTTCAAATTAAGCACTTTATTAACTGTCGAAGCCAATTCGTGGTTTGTTTGTTACATTGTAAATGTGGTATCCAATATATAGGACGTACAATCAGAAAATTACATATAAGATTACTTGAACATTTCAATGGTATTAAGAACAAGAATATGAAGCATAGTGTACCTAAACATCAGGGCTCGAGTCCTGCAGGAACGCATGGGAACGGCGTTCCCGCACTTTTTCCAAAGCAGGAACGCCGTTCCCGTTACCTGTCCTGCAGGACCGGCCCTGCTACCTGCACAGAGCAGCCAGCACACGCTGTGTTCCCTCTCCAGCTATAACTCTCACGAGACCCGCTGCTGTTACCATGGCAACGCTCCGCACAGGCGAGTCTCGCGAGAGTTAGAGCTGGAGAGGGAACACAGCGTGTGATGGCCCCTCTGTGCAGCGGCTGGCTCCCTCCAGCATACCACCGGACCACCAGTCGATCTCCCCCCTCCCTGACAAGGTAAGAAGCAGGGAGGGGGGGATAAAATAAAAATTATACGTAAAGTAAAAAAAAATGTCCCCCCATCATCCAGCACCCACTCACACACCCATCATCCAGCACACACACACCCATCATCCAGCACACACACACTCACACATCATCCAGCACTCACACACCCATCATCCAGCACACACACACCCATCATCCAGCACACACACACACCCATCATCCAGCACTCACACACCCATCATCCAGCACTCACACACACATCATCCAGAACTCACACACCCATCATCCAGCACACACACCCATCATCCAGCACTCACACACCCATCATCCAGCACTCACACACCCATCATCCAGCACACACACACCCATCATCCAGCACTCACTCACACACCCATCATCCAGCACTCACTCACTCACACACACATCATCCAGCACACACTCACACACACATCATCCAGCACACACACACCCATCATCTAGCACTCACACACACATCATCCAGCACACACACATCATCCAGCACACACACACACCCATCATCCAGCACACACCCATCATCCAGCAACACACACACACCCATCATCCAGCACTCACACACCCATCATCCAGCACACACACACCCATCATCCAGCACTCACACACCCAGCATCCAGCACTCACACATCCAGCACTCACACACCCAGCATCCAGCACTCACACACCCAGCATCCAGCACACACACACACCCATCATCCAGCACACACACACCCATCATCCAGCACTGACACACCCATCATCCAGCACTCACACACACACATCATCCAGCACTCCACACACACACATCATCCCAGCACTGACACACATCATCCAGCACTCACACACCCATCATCCAGCACTCACACACCCATCATCCAGCACTCACACACCCATCCATCATCCAGCACACACACACCCACCCATCATCCAGCACTCACACACCCATCATCCAGCACACACACACACCCATCATCCAGCACTCACACACCCATCATTCAGCACTCACACACCCATCATTCAGCACTCACACACCCATCATTCAGCACTCACACACCCATCATTCAGCACTCACACACCCATCATCCAGCACACACACACACATCATCCAGCACTCACACACACATCATCCAGCACACACACACACGTCATCCAGCACTCACACACACGTCATCCAGCACTCACACACACATCATCCAGCACACGCTGCATTCATTATACACACTCTTCACTCACTACAAACACACTACATTCACTATACACCCTCTGCATTCACTATACACACTCTGCATTTATTATGCACATTCTGTACTCACTACACACTACATTCACTATACACACTCTGCATTCACTACAAACACACTACATACACTGCATTCATTGTACACACACTCTGCACTCACTAAAAACACACTGCATTCATTATACACACTCTGCATTC